ATCAATTTGGCTGTTAAACTTTGCATACTTCACGAAGTTCTTGTGTTGTGTTTTTCAGCTCCATTAATTCACTTATATTCTTCTCTAAATTGTGTATTCTTGTTAACATTTCATCAAACCTTTTTTCAATGTTCTTGGTTTCTTTGCATTGGGTTAAAACAAGTTCTTTTAATTCACAGAAGCTTCTTATCATCCACCTTTTGCAGCCTGCTTGTGTTAATGGAACATACTCATTCTCCATCAGGCCTTGTTCCATTGCTGATGAGGAACTGTGATCCCCTGTAGAGGTAGAAGCATTCTGATTTTGGGTATTCTCAGCATTTTTAGGCTGGTTTCTTCCCTTCTTTATAGATTTATCAATCTGTGATCTTTATAATTACCGTCTTTATAATTGGGTTTCTGAGTGGATGTCCAACATGTTGATTCCCAGCACTAAAATCTGAGCAACCCACTGCGCTGGCCAAAACAGTGGCGTTAAGATTGATGGTGCTTTTCTGACTCTGCACCAAGAACCTCTGCACCAAGGCAGGGGCAAAACCGCCTCTCCAGCCACAGGAGTTGTGCTGGCGACCCGCGGGGCTCCTCCGCTGGGAATCTCCTGGTGCATGAACAACAAAAATTCGTCTGAAAATGTGGCATTCTCTCATTCTCTGCACTTTCACTGGGAGCTACAATCCCGAGCTGCTAGTGGTCAGCCATCCTGGATCTCTCCCTGTCTGTATTTTTAAGGATGTCTACGTGTGTGTGTGTGTGTGTGTGTGTATGTATAATTTTTTTCTACCAAAATTCATAAACAGGTCTACTTAATTGGCTTACAGAGTGAAAAATAAGTGTTTAAACTAAGAGTTCTGTCAGAAAAATAAAAACTCGATTTTTTTTTGGCTCATGTGATGAAATAATCTTTGACAAATAAAGCTAGTTTTAAAATTTGTTGGTAAAATAAAAATAGAAATGTTTTCATTTCAAGACAGTTATTTTTATCTAAAAGTAGCATTAATTACAATGTATGGATATAGTTTTTAAACTCAAAGTTATTGGTGTTACAAGCTGGCTATTACTGAGATGTATAAATTCATAAAGCTATAAATCCACTCAATATCTGGTTGTGTTTAAGGAGCAATTGAAGAATAATTGCTAAGAATGAGCAAGTTAGGTGAATGTGCATTGACAAAAGGTTTATAATAAAGTTGTCAGAATTTCAAAAATCTTTTATTGTGACTTGAAATCTTAAAGTCATGTTATATTAAATTAAATAATAGTTAATTGGTTTAACATTTGAATCATTTCTAAAGAAAATACTGAAGCATCAATTGCTTAACAGAAGTTTAAAATATACATAAGTTTGCATCTTGGTTTTATATGTTATGGAAAAACTAAACGTATTTGGGCCTGTTAATAAAAGACATAAAATTGTTTTATGAGATGGTATTCACCTGCAAAATACTAATATGATTCACTTCAAAATGCTTACTAATTTTCACTAGAAATTAAGGTTACTAATTTAAATTAATATTAAATTAGTTAAATTAAATATTAACATTTAATATTTATTTTAACATTTTATTTAAATATTAATACTTAATATTAAATTAGGTTACTAATTTAAATTTAATATTAAAGTAATTTAAACTAGAAATAATGAAGGGAAACAGTCTTATGAGGATGAAGGAAGACACATAAAGAAAGTTATAAATATGAGGATATGTTTTTGTTAAGGGAAAAAGAGAGTAATTTTTCTCTAAAAGTAGAATGTCCCAAAGCAAAAAGAGAAAATATAGACTAAGCTAAATAACTGGGTGACAAATTTGTAGGTTTATGGAAAATTAACCTTGTGAAAAGAATTTTATGTGTAAACAAGTTGGCTAAAGTTAAAAGGGAATTATTCATAAATATTTCTAAAATCTTGAGCATTATTTTCAAAAACACAAAAATGGAAGACTTGAAATTTGTCCCTTATGCTAAAACAACAAGGTTCTCTTTCAGAATTAATCTGCTCTTAATAGAAAATAGTGAAATGTTTTCTCTACCTTTTAGGTAACTGTCTTAAGTAACCAAGATTTTTTGTTTATCAAGATAATTTCTTATGCTTTGTGCTGTCTTTATTAGGTCTTTTATTACTTGAGAAAAGTGAGTCAGAGGGTGACCAAGATGGTTGCCTAGAAGCAGCCAGTAGTGTGTGCCACTCTCACGAACAGAAGGAGTGGTGAGTAGACACTAGCTCTTCAACCAGAACATTCAAGTGAACACATTAAAATTCATCAATGACACAGTATGACCTTTGGATCAGGAAGAGTGAGACAGGTTAACCATTTACCCAGGAGTCGCATGGAGCCAGGGAAGTCCCCTTCCAGGAAAGTGGTGAGTGAGTGAGCATCCCTAGGGATGCACATTTCTGCCAGGAACCTTGGAATCCCTGGGCTCAGGAGATTCCCCAGCTGGGGCCTGCTGCTTAGGTATGTGTGGTGGAGTCTCAGAAGCATTGGTTCCCTGGGGACCCCAACACCAGGGGCTGTTCCAGCAATGGTGAAGGCCAAGTTTTCTTGCACGCTCCCCAGGAAAGGGGCCAACTCCGCTGACAGACTGCAAACCTCACCTCCACTGAACCTTATAGGACAAAGCCCACTGGCCTGGGATGCTAGCAAGGCCACCCCAGTCCTCCTGAGCTCTCCAGCTGGGAGCAACTTTACACTTCTCTGGTAGGAAGGTCCCAAGAGAGTGGCAGTCTACCCTTTTGCTGTTCCTCAACCCCCCTCCTGCTGCTCTGAGGCTTGGGAGGGTGCACAGCAATTACAGACAATCACAGGCTCCTAGCACAGTGCATTTGATGAACTTAAAAAAGATCAAAAAGCAAAAAACAGACAGCCTCATTTAAAAGTAGGCAAGGCATATGAATGGACACTTTCAAAGGAAGACATACATGTGGCCAGAAAGCATATGAAAAAATGCTCAACATCGCTAATCATTAGAGAAATGCAAATCCAAACCAAAATGAGATACCATCTCATACCAATGAGAATGGCTATTACTAAAAACTCAAAAAATCAGAGATGCTAGTGAGGTCATGGAGAAAAGGGAATAATTATACAGTGATGGTGGGAATGTAAAGTAGTCCAGCTATTGTGGAAAGCAGTGTGGCAATTTCTCAAAGAACTCAAAGCAGAAGTGCCATTCAACCCATCAATCCTATTACTGAGGGATCAAAATTGTTATACATCAAAAGGGATACAAATTGTTATACCATAAAGACACATGCACATGTATGTCCATTGCAGCACTATTCACAATAGCAAAGACATGGAGTCAATCTAAATGGTTATCAGTGATAGAGTGAATGAAGAAAATGTGGTAGATATAGAGCCTGGAATATTATGCAGCCATAAAAAAATGAGATCATCTCCTTTTCCAGCAACATGGGTGGAGCTGGAGGTCATGGTCCTAGAAAGTCAAATACAACATGTTCTCACTTATAAGGGGAGCTAAACATTGAATACATATGAACACAAATTGAATAGCAGACACTAGGCCGTACTTTAGAGTGGAGGAAGGGAGATTATGAAAATTTTAAAATTACCTACTGAGTATTACATTTATTATCTGGGTTATGCAATAATCTACATACCTAACCTACATGACACACAATTTACCTATATAACAAACCCACATGTATACCCTGAACCTAAAAGTTAAAAGAAAAACAATAGATAATTGTTCTCAATATTAAAAAGCTATGTTTTTGTTGACAATCACGTAAATTTCTTTACTTTTTGAAATCTTTTAATTTTCACTTTGATTAAATTACTGATGATTATTTCATGGTTATCTGTTAGTATACTCTGATAAAGTGTTTTAAACTGTTTGATGTTTTTGGCAAACTTCCCAAAATGATATTTTAAATTAACTCTTTTTGCCCTCAGGCTAATTTTGATATTTCTCAGTTGGACCCCTGGAAAGATCAAAGCATGTGTATCCCACATTGTATAAAAGGTATATTAAACTAATCAGACTTATTTAATATATTAAATTATATTGGGAGCATTGTCAAAAGTAAGTGGTGCTAAACCTTCTTTATGTTTAACAATATGTTTATTGATATGTGTTTCAAAATTATATTAGATTCTTCAAAATCGGATATGTTATCAGTCATAATCTTGGTTATTATCTTCAATGCCACAAAAATAATCAAATTTCTTTGTCAATTACATTATTATTATAATAAACTCCACGTGATTTTTTACCGTGGTCACTCTGCATCTGTCATCCACAGGGACTGACGGTTTTAATTCTTTTCTAAAGGCATTTGCCATCAGCTATAGCACAAAATTGCCTCTTCTCTGAAATTGATGATCCAATAAGCTTTAGCCCATATACTCCTTTATACCTCTACAGCCTCCGCGGATCAAGTAGTTATATTCCTCTGGCAGGCTGTGCTATGGAAACCAACATTAAATTACATTTTTTAATTTCCAGTTTATTACATACCAAGAGTTGATTACAACCTCCTTGTTTCATAAGTGGAAGCTATGTTAGAGTTGGAGGTGGGTGCCATAATTTCTTCAAGCGTCCTGAACAGGGACCTGCATCAGGATCAGAAGCACTTTTGATAGCATTGGAGATCTCATGGCTCAATAATCCTTGAAGTATGATTTTCGCCCTAGGATCAGTTGAAGTTTCTGTCACTTTTTCTACATTAAATCTCCTGGTATCAAACAGAGCTTTGCGGTATCACTGGCTGAGCAATAGAATAGAGATGTCCATGAAGGGTCCTGATGTCATTACTGCACACAGATGGGAAAGGAGAGACTACTTCCCCACCACCCAGATACTTCACTCCTCTCTTGGCATCAGTCCTATAGTTGGACCTAGGTTCTCAGAAAAGTAGATGTGCAGACAAGTTTGGGTTGAGCTTTAAGAGGACACATCGTCATGGAAGAGAATCCAATATCTCTAACCTGCTTTTCTTTTCAGTAAAGTATCCTGAGGGACCAGTAAGCAGGGAGATCTTTTTCTATTTTGCCTGCAGAATTCAGAAGACAGTTGATTTTTCAGTCTTTTACAGGATGCTTAAACAAAGCCGTGTAATTACACAAGGTGAATTTTATCTTGCCTAAGAAGATAAAGTGGAAATCTTCACTCCACCAGGGCAAATTTCCAAGGAGCTCATTTATTCTACTTCTTTCAAACTTCCATGTGATACATTTTCCTTTCACATTGTTGCTGATTTCCAAATAGCTGTCAGCAAGTTTTTCTCCGCCTTGCCTATTCTTCACTATTTTGGCAATAAAGCTCATAGAATTAGGGGACTTAGAAGATGTTTGAAAACATCCTCACGACGGCACTGCTGAAATGATTCACAGGAAGACTGGTCAGTTGGAAGAAAGATCCTAAAGATGTTACACTGGTTTTCAACAACATGCTTAGAGATTTCTTGAAGCAGATAGGGTGGCCACCTAGTGAAAACTATGTTTTGATTTAATTTATTTTAAATTTATGGTGATTCTGTGGGTTTCTAAAATGAGCAGATAGTCAAGTCAAGAGGCGTTTTGTGTTTTCTTCAGCCAAGAACAAGGTTGGAGGAGCAAGGACACAATTTGGGACAGGACACGTGCTATTACAGGAATCACCTTTATGTTTCTGGGAAGGAATGGGCGAGGGTGAGTAGGTTGGCTCAGCACTGTCCTGAACTGTTCATGAGAACTTGGGATGTGCAAAGGAAATGTGTGAGACATCAGTGCACCCAGGGGACAGCCCGGCTCCCTGCTGTGCTGAGTTTCTGTGGCCTACCATGTTTCCCTTGATGATGTAAATGAAGATGAAGGAGTTATTTCATGATGTCCTGCTGCTGAGAATAATAAATGTCTTGTTACAAATAGATGTGGCAATCATTTTTTCTGGATTATTATCAGGGTGGTCAGCTCTGGATTAAGGCACTCACATCCAATTTGTACAATACTGATACATAGGGGTACACTTATTACTGCTCAAGTGTTCTATGTTAAAAATTTTGTTTTACTTCTAAAGGTTAAATAAAAGTAAAAAAAAAAAAAACAGAGCTAAACTATCAAACTGTTCCCCTATTTGTTTTCCCCAAAGTATATTTTATTGAGGATGTCGTAGGATACCTGCCATTTAAGGAAATGAATAGAAAATTTAAAACCCCCAAAAAATGAGAAAAAGAGAAATTCAGTGCACAAAAATTGGGCTGGCCCAGCACCACACTGAAGTAGGCTGTGGTTTTGGAGAGGAGAGCCTTACTCTCTTTACATTCGCTCATGCTTCCACACAAGGCTAGCAGTAGAAACGCTCGAGTTCCTCTTGCCTATCAAGGGGACTAGGAGTTGACCAAAGGAAATATTTGGCTCCATGAGGAATGGACATCTCAGGATGTTTCCTGAACAGGACCTAATCAGGAAGCAGTCTGGACGTGTATGGACATGGTCACCTCATGAAAATGTGTGGTACTTGGCTCTCAGGAGAAACACCAAGTCTGAATCATCCATGCGGCAGCTTTGCATGGGGAGGTAACAACTTACAATTGAAACTGAACTGCTTCCTGCATGCCTTACCGTAGCAGTGATGAGGGCAATCAGTGCATGTGCTGTGAGTCACAGGTTTAAAGAAAAGGGAATGTTTTATGCTCAGTGTTTCCTTTGTCCTTGGACTACTCAAGCTGGACAAAAGGTAACCATTCTTTTCAAGAAATCAACCTGATTTTGCTGGCTTGGTTTGTTGTTTGTTCTGTCCCTAGCTGTAAGAATGTTTTGGTCTGGAAACTTGGCTTGTCTCATAATACATTCTCTTTCTGTAATTTTAAAAATTTTTATTTCCATAGGTTTTTGGGGAATAGGTGACATTTGGTGACACAAATGAGTTCCTTAGTGGTGATTTGTGAGATTTTGGTGCACCCATCACCCAAGCAGTATACACCAAACCCAATTTGTTGTCTTTTACTTTTCACCCCTTTCCCACTCTTTCCTTTTGAGTCCCCAAAGTCCACTGTATCGTTCTTATGCCTTTGCATCCTCATAGGCTAGTACTTAAGAGTGAGAACACACGATGTTTGGTTTTTCATTCCTGAGTTACTTCACTTAGAAGAATAGTCTCCAGTTCCATCCAGGTTATTAGGAATGTCATTAATTCCTCCTTTTTTATGGCTGAGTAGTATTCTATCGCATATATGTATGTATGCATATACAAATGCATCACATGTATATATATATGTGTATATATGCATATGTGTGTGTGTGTTTATATATATAATATGTATATATATATCACAGTTTATTCATTCGTTGATTGATGGGCATTTAGGATGCTTCCTCATTTTTGCAATTGCTGATTGTGCTCTTATAAACATGCGTGTTAAAGTATTGTTTCTTGTATAATGACTTCTTTTCCTGTGGGTAGATACGCAGCAGTGGGATTGCTATATCAAGTGATAGTCCTACTTTTATGAGTTGTCCTTGTTTTTCATTGTAAGATAATACTTTTGATCACTATAGTTTGTCACCGTTTGGATTATTTCCCCTTTGAAATTCCTAAACTTTTCCCCTTCATAATATTAAAACAATTCATGTTAGAGGCTCTTTCAACATGAAAGGTTTGTAGTTAATACATTACATATATGTTGTTGTTTATAATAAAAATCACCTAGGCAAGAGGACTACCAGGTGTTAATTTTCATACTTTGCACAATATCTTTTTTTCCATGATGTGTTAACATCTACAATTTCACTAAATGTTGATGTCATTTTCTATTGAGATTCTGGTACTTAGGAGCTATGTGGTTTTTTGTTGTTGTTGTTGTTTTTGTTGTTGTTGTTGTTGTTGTTGTTTTCTCTTACTTCCCTGAAGCAAAAGACTACATGGCCTTCAGTGCAAAAACCTCAGTTCAATTCTGAAATTTATTATATTTGGTTGCCTCTTGGCTATATAACATCTGAATGCAAATCATTGAACTCCCTAATGAAGTATTATAGAGAATAAATTAAGAAGAATAAAGAAAAATCCTTCTTCAAGGAGATTCATGGAAGGGACTCTTAACAAGTATGCTGCAATTTAGATTTCTTATGATTTTAAGATTATACCATTGGACTCGGTAAGAATTTCCAGAAGTCTAATGAAGAAGCTCTTGGTGTCTTAAAACATCTAACCAAGATCAAATAGAATAAGTATTAATAAATACAACTAAACAAAATGATGACAGTATTTAGAGTGACTTTTTGTTTACCATTTTGCTGGCTCTTTAAATGTTTTGTTTTCCAGATTTGAGAAGACTTTTAAAAAGCTATCTATAGCATACAGCAATTTGGTAAAATATACTTTTATAAATAAAAATGAAAATATTTACTTTTTCTTCCTATCTGAGCCTGCAGACTTTTGAGAGCTCTTATTGATATTTTTATTTGATGGCAACATAGCTATTTGCATAAATTCAATAAAAATCTATTATTTTTATAGCAGGATAGAATTAGAAACATTGGTTATATTGTAAAGGATTTGACTTGAATATCATATTTTAGAATGTTCATAGATTGCCTAGCTTCAAAGATTCCCAGGCTCACACTGAATGAATAAACATTTTTACTTCTTGACAGGCAAGGAGCCTCAAGGCATATTGGAGACCTCAAGAAGAGAGAAATTCATCCAAATTTGTAGGTACTGCGCCCAAAGTCTGATGTTTGCCCTCATTTGACTTCTGACCCTCGAAAGGTTTTTAAAAGTCAATCTGAGATTTTGTATCAAAAGTTCCAGCAAAATAAACTTAAAAACAGTCCATGTTCTGTCACTTTTCTTGCTACACTTTTGTCAACAATCACGCCAAGTTTAATGAGACGAAACTTTTTCAGCTGACAAACTACTTTCTCTGATTATTTTTCATAGAAATAGGGATAAATGTAGAGATAAAAATTATGTTTCTGAAAAAAAGCTGCAGTGCACCTGTTATTAGATTGTAGTTTTGCTTGTTGTTTTCAAGTTTGCATTACCTACCCTATAAATTGGACCGGGTACTTAATTATTCTAATTGCCTCCAACATCTGGCTACAACTTTCCAACTAAGAACGTAAACTGCCTTGTTCCTAAAATAAGTTGAAGCTGGAAAACTCCATGCAGATTTCAAGGAACAGATCTGATGGCCGTTGTGTGGGCTACAAAGAAAATTGCCTAAAATGCCCCATGCTACGACCAGGAACATTCAAACTGCAAACCAGAGTAAGAAGTTGATGACTTCACACTGTGTACAATTTTTCCCAAGATATTGGAACAAAACTAGACTCTTATCCTTCTTAATTTCGTCTTAGTTATGCCTACATCTTTCACTTAGCAGAAAAATGCAGTGGTTGGAATTTCACAATCAGTAGCTTCTGTAACTGAATAAAGTTTTGCATCCGTCATGTCAAACCCACAACTTTACATGACCTGAGGGATTTTTTAGTCCACATAGTGGGTAACTATGGCAACATCTCTAATGATTTATTTGCCACCTTGGATTTTGTTACAGGCTTCACACTGCAAAGGCTATTGCTGCCCAGCAGTGCTCATTAAAGTATCTTGCAGAGTAGTCATAGATAACAGAATAACTCTCAATTATCTACTGGTTGAACAAGGAGGTGTTTGTGTCATTGCTAATAACTACATGCTGTACCTGAATATGTATCTCTGGGGATGTTGAGACCTAATTGCATAAAATAGAAAGACAGGCTTTATGGCTGCAACAGATCCCACTCAGTCTCACATAGACTTTTGATTCATTAGTTAACTGCCTATGGGTCTAGGTTAATAGACAATATTATCACGTTACTATAAATTTTGTGCTGCATCATTCTTTTTAAACTTTTTATCTGTTTCCTGTCCAACCTCTGCAGAAATGATACCTCGAACAGAATAACACCAGACCAGAACTTCCAAATGGTAGTCAATGCCTATCAAACTGACAAAATTGAACTTAGCAATGAACTCCAGGCAGATTTATCCTGAACCTCTTTGTTTCTTATTTGACTAAAAGAGTTTTGACATCTGCTCTTAGTTGCTGGTCATTCATCTCTGATGCAGGATCAGACTAACTAGAAAAGTTCCTCTCCAGCACCAAGAGACAATGAAAACCTAATAGGCTGATTAATCTGCAATGCTTTCAGAAAAAAATCTTGGTCAAAGGGAGAAATATGAAAGTTATCAGCACAAACATGGACTCACTTAAGTCAAACCACAACAAAATGGAGCGGGGAGAGTATAAAGGAACGGCCTTCATGCATGGATGTCTGTAATAAGAACTGTTGCAAGGACTCTCTAGGAACCACTAAAATTTTGGATACAACGCTTCTGTGAACACATCTTCCCAGCAACAGCCAGTATCACCAATGACTATTTGTTCATGCCAGCAATAAGCTTCTGGGGTCAATGAGGTTTATTTTAAAATAACTTACATGAACTTCACCTCTGTTTTTTCTTTATTTCTTCTTATTGAAAAAAAAAAAAGTTACATGTGTAGAACATGCAGGTTTGTTACATATGTATACATATGCCATGGTGGCTTGCTGCACCTATCAACCCATCATCTAAGTTCCCTTTCCTCACCCCCAACCTCCAACAGGCCCTGTTGTGTGCTGTTTCCTTCTCTGTGTCCATGTGTTCTCAATGTTCAACTCCCACTTATGATTAAGAAAATTTGGCATTTGGTTTTCTGTTCCTGTGTTAGTTTGCTGAAGATGATGGTTTCCAGCTTCATCCATTGCCTTGCAAAGGACATGATCTCATTCCTTTTTATGACTGCATGGTATTCTATGGTGTATATGTAACACATTTTCTTTATTCAGTCTATCACTGATGGGCATTTGGGTTGGTTCCATGTCTTTGCTATTGTAAATAGTGCTGCAATAAACATAAATGTTCATGTGCCTTTATAGTAGAATTATTTATATTCCTTTGGGTATGTACCTAGTAATGGGATTACTGGGTCAAATGGTATTTCTGATTCTAGAAATCACCATTCTATCTTCCACAATGGTTGAACTAATTTACACTCCCACTAACAGTGTAAAATCATTCCTATCTCTCCAAAGCCTTGCCAGCATCTATTGTTTCCTGACTTTTTAATAATCTCCATTCTGACTGGCATAAGGTGGCATCTCATTGTGTTTTTCATTTGCATTTCTCTGATGATCACTGATGTTGAGCTTTCTTCATATGA